TGCCTCGGAAACCCAACAGGGGTCGCTACGATTCAGGATTGACTCAGTGGCAGTGAGTTTTTTAGTTTGAGTATGTTGCTGTTTGGTGCCGTGAAGTTGGCTCTGACGCATAGCGACTCTATGCACAAGAGAACAAAACACTGCCTGGTCCTGCACAAGCCTCACGATCCTTGCTATACCTGAGCCCATCATTGCAGCCACTGTGTCAGTCCATCTCATTGAGGGCCTTCCCCTTGTTTGCTGACCCTCCGCTGCACCAAGCGTGATTTCCTTCTCCAGGGAATGGTCCCTTCTGACAACACGACCAAAGTAGGTCAGACAAAGTCTGGCCATTCTCGCTTTCAAAGAGCGTTCTGGCTGTTTGAGTATATAGGATGCAGCAAACCAATTTAAGTGTAAAATGCACAAACACCGTCCTTTAAAATCCTGCTGCTTCCCTCACCTTGGCGCACAGCATCCGCAGCTCGCCACCTAGCGTCCTCGTAGCCAGGCTCAGGGGCTTTTTAAACTGGATTCAACTTCACTCACAGGCCGTATCCAGCCAAGTGGCTTGGAGACCAAGTCTGATTTACAGACTCATTGATATTTGTGAGAACAAAATCATTGGTAGCACTTTAGTATTCAAAGAACAAAGTGGAAATAGCAAAAATAACTGAAAACTTTAAAATGCAATTTGTGCCATTCCAAATACTCAAATATCTTGTATCGGCACAGAGCATACTTCTGCTTTGTTGGTTCAAGCAAAATTGTTGGGGTGCAATTCTACTAAATCAGATCACAGAGCCATCACCAGCTTTTCATCCATTAAGTACTCCTGCTAAAAATGCCAGACTAAATCAAATTTTCAGATCTTACGATTTCCAAGAAATACAGGGAAACGAGACCAATTTAAAACCATATCAGAAGGAAAAGGTCAGCTAAACCTCTAAAGCAGGGAATACCTTAATTTCCGCCCCCCCAAAAGTCAGTGTTACAGGGAGACCAAGAGCGGTGAGTACTATTCTAGAATAAAGAGATTAAAGAGACAGAACTAAGAATCTCGATTGGACCCTGGTTTAGGAAAACAATAGCTTTAAAATTTTTTTAAAATTTTTTATTGAAGTGAAATTCAAATCACATAAAATCAACCATATTAACATGTACAAGTTGGTGATGTTTAGTACATACACAATGCTGTGCACCCATCGCCACTCTAATTCCAGGATATTTTTATCACATCCAAAGACAATCCTGACCCCATTAAGTAGCCACTACCCATGCCCCTGGCCTCCAGCCGCTGGCCACTATCACTCGGCTGTCTCTCTGTGCTTGTCTACTCTGAGCATTGCATGTAAACAGAATCATGCAGCACGTGACCTTTTGATTCTGGTCTCTTTCACTTAGCAGGATGTCTATCCAGTCACTTATCTGTTAACTATTTTTTGATCATTAACATTTTGTGTTTAAGGTGAAAAATTACACAGCAAATCAAGTTCCCAAATAATTCAGTGATGATTGGTTACATTTTTCACAATGTGTCAATGCTCATTGATTGCATTCTGATTGTACCATTTCCAAGATTCTAGTTTCCTTTGCTTGATAGATGATTTTTCTTAAGCTCATTACTCAAAGATGATATTCTTTATTTTATGAGACAATCTATTTGGCTAGAAGGTGACATCGAGCAATAATTTCAGTTTAAGGTTTAAAGTATGAAAACTGTTAGTTGCCATGGCAGCACCAATTCCCACTCGGGACCCACGTGTGCTGTTAAGGGTTGTCAGGGCTGTGACCTTTAGGAGGCAGACTGCCAGCCCTGACTTCTGAGGCTCCTCTAGCTGGGCTTGACCCACCAACCTCAGTAGTGCAGCACTTAACCATTTGTGCCACTCAGGGAAGGACTCCTGTAGGGCAGTTTAAATAGGCCTGGCATATGAGGTTAGGGATTTAGAGCGAATTTTCTCAGGATCACTGTGCCAGTGTGTTTCTGCGGGAGAACGTCCTTGCTCTCAGGAGATACTTGCTGAAGGACTTAGGGGTGAAGTTTACAGTGGTTGCAGGGAATGCAGGAAAAAATTAGATGATGCTGGTTGCAGCAGAGTCAATTCCAAGTCATGGTGACCCCGTGTGTTACAGAGAACTGCTCCATCAGGTTTTCTTGGCTGTAATCTTAACAGAAGCAGACTGCCAGGCCTTTTTTGCTGCAGTAGTGTTGGATGGGTTCCAGTCAGCACAAAGTATTTTCGCCATCGAAGAACCTGGGGGGAAAAGATAGGAAAAGGAAATATGGTAAAACTTAAAACACTGTTGAATCTATATGAAGTATAAGGATGCTCACTGTAATTACTTTTCTCTCTGACTGAAAGTGTCCCTAATAAAAACAGTAAATGATGATAATGTTATTTGACTTTTGAGAGGGGCTCTCAAAGTTACTGAGATGCTCTGCCTTCAACCAACTCATTATTTACCTGTTCAACCTAGGAAAGCGTTGGTGGGAATGGTGCCCTGCCCACAGCAAACCCAGAATTACTTATCACTGAAAGAATATTGCTTTCTCTGGTGTTCTTTCCTTCTCTGTTTGGTGTTCTTTTTCTGAATATGCCACTCTACTGACAATCGATGTTGAGCCTTTATCATCTTTCCAAACACTTGGAAACCGCAGAGTGGGGTGGCTTTCCAAAGATAGTGTCAATCAAAGAGAAGACTGCTCTTGTGGCTTCTGGCAGAGTCGGCAGCTGCTGTGAGAGCTGGTGGGTGTTTGTATTGTCACACTCCATTCACAACGCTGCTTGATCATGAAATGAGTGCTCTCCCAGGCCAGTAAACCAGGCTTATAAAACCATGGTTTTGATACAAGTATATATTTTTTCCTATGACATAGTAAATCATAGCTAGATAATCATCTTATACTGAATGATATGTTTAATCAGTGATATGTGTACCATACTTTACAAGAACCGGCCTCTCAGCAAAGGATTTAGTGGGAAATGTTATTAGGTATCATCAAGTTGGTTTTAGGAAAAAATGAAAACTAATGATCAGATCAGCGTTTGTTTTGCAGCGAGCCATTCAAGAGGCAAAGCACACCCTGAGGGGGGGAGCGTGGCGTCCCCAAGCTCCCACCCCAGGAGCCACATCCTAGCTTCAAGCTGCCATAGCTTTAACTGTGTCTGTGGACACTCTGGATCAGTGTGGTTTTAGGTTTTATGTGTTATTTGGTATGATAGGCTACTTTTTGGTTGGGAACTTCAAAGGTTTCCTGTGTACATTAATAGTAATTGCTTTTTGCTTTTACTCTGTGTCTCAGTTTATGAAAGGAACCCTGTACTTTCAGACAGGGGAGAAACCCATGTATTCAGACAGACTGGGACAAGAAGAGGCTCACAGGTGTTTTCAGCTGGGGAAGGAAGCAGGGTTTCAGAAACAACTCTTGGGGGTTACGATCAGAGAAATTTGGCTTCCTGCCATTTAATAAGAAGGGCATTCAACAGAATCTGGGAAGCAACCAATAATTTGGCAAACACACTGGTCAGAGAATTTCTTCCTTCTTCAGTGTGAGATACCGTGTTAGGAGGGGTGAGAGCCCCAATGTCAAAGCCATGGAAGACTACTTGGGGTAGGGTCTGCAGGGGTGTTAGGACTTTGGTGTCAGAGACTGCAGAGACAGCCCGAGAGGAGGCCTCAGGGAGAGAAAAGGCCTGAAGGGGTGAAAGCCGTCGGCAGGAGTGAGGGAGGACCATACGGGAGTGCGGTCCAAACAGCGAGCACCTTAAAGCAGGACCAAGTTTAGATTGTACTAAGTAGGAGATGGCCTCCACGGGAAACTTTAGAGCAACGGAAAGTTATTTGTGGTTAGGGTGTTTCAGACCAGAATGACTGCTGATGGCTTTAAAAAACAAACCCAGGAGCCCCCCTGCCATACAGCAGGTGCTCAAGCTTCGGCGCACAGCAGAATCACGCAGATGAAAGGGGAGCTTGTTCAAAATGGAGACTTCTGATGCTCGCCACCCCCAAATACTCAGGCTCTAGAGGTTTGGGGCCGATGTCTGTAGTTTAACAAATCGGTCCTGAAAGAAGCGCAGCCACAGTGCTCCTTGGAGGGGAGAATGGCCAGACTTCGTCTCACCTCCTCTGGTCATGTTGTAAGAGATGGTTCCCTGGAGAAAGGGTATCACGCTTGGTAAAGGGGAGCGAGAAAGGGGAAGGCCCTCAGCAGATGGACTGACACGGTGGTTGCAACGATGGACTGAGGTACGGCAGGGATCGTGAAGCCCGCACAGGACGGGGCAGTGTTCCGTTCTGCCGCACACAGGGTCGCCGTGAGTCAGAGACGGCGCCCCGCCACCTAACAACAACGTGGCAGTGTAGCTCCCATCGCTTATCTCCATTAGCCTCTTCACTCTTTGATACGGAACGGGCATCTCAATCTCATGTAAAGTGTTTGGGGGTCCGCCCGGGACACCCCGCTCCCCCCAGAGTTAACGAGGCGACGCCACTAAGAACAACAGACCCGTGTAGTGGCAGGTCTGGGGAACGGGTCACGCAGCCGTCAAGCATTGCCTTTGCCTTACCCACGTTCGACTGAGCCGTCGCCAAATCCCCCCTCTTCGGGGACGTCAACCAAGAGCTGGGCCCTACCCTGGCCCAGACAGAAAAACCTGCAGTCATGGCCTCGCTCACTGGCTGGAGCTGCCTACCTGCATAAACCTCTAGGCGGGTTTCCATGGTGATTGACAGACACCGCGGCCAATTATGTCCAGGCACTTGTTTGTTTCCTCAGCCCCTCACACTCCCCAAGGAGTGGATACTTCCGTGACTGATAGTTTGCCCCCAAACGCTCTTACGTAAGGGGGAGGGCCAAACGCTGCCCCACCCGAAAGGAGCGTATTTGATTGGCAGGACGGAGTTATCGGTTGACGCCCGCGGAATAACGTCCTTGACGGGCAGTTGTGGGAGCCACTCGGAGCCGGGAGGCTGGGGCGGAAGTGGCTGGGCCCGCGAGGGCGGAGCCTGATGCCGAGGTCGGGGCGGGGAGCGCGCAGAGGCTGGGCGGGCGCTGCGGCTGGAGATGCTGTCGGGCTGCGACGGCGCTTGGCTGCCAAAAGCAGTGCACTGAAGGCAACAAGGAGAGGCGCACTGCCAGGCCGTCTGGTAGGTACGCGCAGGCTGAGGAGTTCTTACACCCTGGTACCTGGTGTCCTCGGCCTGACATCTGTCGACCCTGCCAAGCACTCACGGCTCTGCAGTGACTGCTGCCGCGCAGAGATGGGGGTCTAGCCGGGCACCTGTCCGCCTTTCCAGGCACCTGCTGTGCGTTGGTCGCTGCCGGCCCTAGCCGTCGGGGCTGTGGCGGGAGCTGGGCCGGGCTGGCTTGGAAGAGGGAAAAGGGCCCGGCCTACTTGCCCCGTCTGGGGTTCGCCCTCTCCAATCCAGTCCCAGTGCCCTCACAGGAAGGGGTCATCGCCGATTCCCAGAGGCCCTTAGACCCTGCCAGAAGGGCTTGCGGGCCTGGGCCGGCATTGAGCCGTCGCCTTTAAATCGCTGTGAGGCCGGGACGTGGCCCCTGCCCTCCAACACACGGAGACAGGTTTGTCCAGATTCTCTGCGTATGTGGAGTCGGGTTTCCGCCCAGGGCAAGGGTGCCCGTTTGAGTCTGGCTGGCCATCTGGGACTGGGGTCGTTTTTGCCTTTTCCTTGGGCCCTGCCTCGTCGCCTTTTACCTTGGAGTTTCTTAAGCTGCTTGAAGGATGATATATTTAGTTAATGCCTATGGAGTCTCTAAGGCACGTAGGAGAAAGCGCTCGTCTCTACTCGGGCTCAAGCTATGCATGGGTCTCAGATGTGTAAAGGAAAAGTGATCACGTTTTGTTCCTGTGGCTGAACCAGCAGAAATTCTAAAACGGTTCGCAATGACTAGGATGTATTCCTATATCTTCCTTCCATTTATGTCACCACTGTTGGAAAATGCCCAAAAAGTACACTACAATTTCTCTCGGTGATTGTGTTGCTGCCGGAACCATTTGATTTAAAAATCTATTACCAGATTAGGCAGCAGCAGGCAAAACCTGCTGCTTAAAGATACGAGGAACTGGGGGCAAGTTCTAGACTCTGAGTCTTAAAGTGGTAGAAACAAAATGTGTTAGACTTGGGAGAGCCCAGACAGATGATTGGTTCACCCCATTAAATTTACCACCCAGGCATCAGGGGCCCGAGGGACGGGAGCCTTGTGTCAGACCAGGTCTGCCTTGTGGAGCTGTACAATGGTGTTGGGTCTGAAAACCAGCACGGTGTTGATCTGGGCCAAGCACGAACGTGCCCCATACATACTGTGTGTCATAGTCACAATTTTCATCTGTGTCACAGTCACCTGAAAGGTGGCAGAGAGCTGTTGCCACTTACTGCTGTAAGTCAGCAGGTCAGTGGAAGAACCAGGCTCCTCGTTGCTGATTTAATTACTGGGTGGCATCACCTCTTGGAAAGACAAACAGCAGTAATAGGTGCTGGTAAAGTCTGGGAGCCCTGGTACCCACCCGTGGAAGTCACAGGTTAGTCTGAGAACAAATTGGTGCTGATGAGAGCCACTTGAGACATGGTTCTCTGCTAGTTGGCTTATGAATTTAGTTAAAACGTTCCTAAACTTTGGCCCTTTTCACCTTTAGCCTTTTTGTCGGTAAAGCAGGAATTCCGAGAAGGAGCTCGGTTCTGAACATTGACAGCCGAGGAAGGAGTCGCAGAGCAGAGACGCTGCTGTTCTTAACAGCTCAGCGTGGCTTCTTTTCCTCTGCCTTTTCCTTTATATTTTTAGTAAATGACCTACCGACTTTGTGACCTTTGAGACATGTTTTCTTATTCACTCCTTGAATCCTCTGGGTAGAAGATCTGTGTGTGTGAAATGTCTTTTCAATCCTCCTGTATTACATCTGTGTTGAGGAAAGCAGTTTGGTGGGAATGATCCTGACAACACAGTTAACATGACTGTCTTCTTACCAAGATATGTATGCTTTACCCTCCCACTGCTGTCTTTCTTCTTTGGCTACTGGTTTCACTGGAGCAGGGAGTCATTTTGTACTTAGACAATTAATTTAAGATACTTTTAAATCTCATTTGTTCCCTTCACCCTGGGAACAGTGATACAACTTTTGTGTATGGGGTACAGTGCATTCTGAACCTATCTTTTCCAAGAGTTGATTGTTAGGCTAGTAGCAACTATTGTAGTCTCTGTCTTCTGCGTTCTTGGCACCTAAGCCAACTATCACTGAATATCCTGAGCCCAGTTCAGACTCCTATAGGTATCTACAGTGGGGAAAAGGGTTGGAGCAAGAAGAGGAAGGAGTATTAGAAGAAAGGATTTCTGAAGACACTTTCCCCCTGAGTTTATAACTATGTATTATATACCACTGTATTGCTCTCTCTGTTTAGAGACTGTTTGGTGTGTCAGACTTAGGTCTCCACCATTTTGGAATTCGTCATGGCTGGTGGTGGTATACTGTGTTTTCTTTTTAAGGTAAAGTGAATGCTGAGGCCGGGAGGTGGATGACCCAGACCACTGAATTCCTTTGTTTGGAGTACACGTTATGAACCCTTTCTGGAGCATGTCTACAAGCTCTGCACGCAAAGTAGGTATAGTCGAGAGATTTAGTGAGGAAACCCCTTACTTCTATCAAGAAAAGGGCCAGAATAGAGGCCAAAATAATTCATACCAAAGTGGCCTGTTAATTTTTACAGAATTACCTCGTCTTTCTAGTTGAGCGTTTCCTATTGAGAAGTTACTCTCTTGTAGGCTAAAGTTGGTTTCTGAGTCTGAGATTGTATCTCAGGAATTCTGGTCATCCTGATGCTGAGATGATCTCGATTTAGGTTATGTGTGCACAAAGGGAATCTGGGCCGCCTTATCGCAGCAGGTTTATACTAAACTAAGAGTTAGATTCCATGGTTAGAGAAGCCTTGGAGGCCTGTCCAGCATGGTCAAGTCAGACTGGAGGGCACTGGGTGAATTTTTCTAAATGAAATTTTTATTTTTTTGTTGTAAAAATAATACATTTTCACTTTAGGAAAGCTTAAATTATGTAGATAAGCAAAAAGAAAATGAAAATAACCCATAATTCCACCTCTAAGAGAGCAGTACTATGAAACATTTTTTTTTTCTATGCACATGTTACCCATTTTTTTATTCGGCTGATTAAACAGCCTTCGGTTATACTTGAGCCAAAGAAGCACCTCTGAGATGGTAGTTTAGTCTCTGACTCATTAGACCTCTGTTCGACTAAGGATGGCATAGTTTATGCTGGTGATATTCCAAATGTGGAAACATACGCTTTATGAACAAGGTCAAAATCAGTCTTCAAGTAAGCAAAAGACTAGTTTCTTTCTTTGTTTCTAACCCAGGTGCTAAAAAGTGACTAATTTCAGTCATCCAAACTCTTTATGTTGAAGTTCTTAGCACCTGACCTTCTACAGTCAAGGTGCAGGGGGACTCTTCTATGTCTTGTACAGTGTCTAATTGCTTAGTAATCCCCTTGCCCTCTTCTGGTTGGGACAGGGGTGCCAGGAGAAACCCTTTCTTTCTCTGGCTCAGTTAATCCTGTGAGTACTGACTTGATTGACCTTGGAGGATGCAGCTTTTGAGAGTTTTCCTGGGGCTTTATTCTTGCTTTAGCTCTGCTCTGCAATTTTATGGCCTGCCTGCTCTTGATCATGATGTTAGAATGTCCTTGTGAAAGAGTAATTGCAGCTTTTAGGTCATGGAATTAAGCTTGTGCTCTTAGGATTTAAGATCATCCTAACAAATATTCTTCATCTTGAATAGCGATCTGATGGTGAAGAGAAGACATTAACAGGGGACGTGAAAACCAGTCCTCCACGCACTGCTCCGAAGAAACAGCTGCCTTCTATTCCCAAAAATGCTTTGCCCATAACCAAGCCTACATCTCCTGCCCCAGCAGCACAGTCAGCAAATGGCACACATGCTTCTTACGGACCCTTCTACCTTGAATACTCTCTTCTTGCAGAATTGTAAGTTCTCAACAAGTTAGGTGGTTGCATTTTGGAACGATCCTTACAGGTAAAGAATGCAGTTCATTCTGATGGATTCAGTAAATGGCAATCATTTACTTTTAAAGCTCAACTCACACCGGTCCTACAATAGCCACCTTAATGTATGTAGAGAACTGTGGAAGCAGTTGCTTGTGGTGTAATCTGTCTTAACCAGACCTGGAGACACACTGGCTTGGAGAAGGGAAAACTTAGCAAGTTCTTCTTAAAACTGTCTTCATCTATCTATATGGAAGTCTGCCATTAGAAAAGGGATTTGACTTATTCTGTATGACCCTTGAAGGCAGAACTAGACAATTACAGGGAAAGTAGAGAGATTTGGGCTCCATGTTTTAGAACTTGACTACTCATAGAAGCCCAAAATTGGGTTAATGTACCCAGATCAGTGTGAGGGAGTGGGTACTTAGACAGTCTTATAGTGATGGAGCTGGCATATATTACAGGAACTCAAAACCAAGTGAGTTTTGGTGGAATTTGACTTGATCATTTGTTACAGAAAATTTGGAGAATCAGTTTTCAGTATTATTTTAAAGTTCCTTCGTATACAAAGTTACTTTAAAAGTCTCCTTTACCCATCCCCCTCAGTGCCTACTGTTGTAATGACCTGAGGCCCCAGTGTAATTGACTGATTTGGTAGCAATAGTCCCTTCAGCTTTATAATTGAGGCCTGTGTTTAAGGCTGAGCAGGGAATGGGGACAGGCTTCTATTGTGGTGATTACATCTGTTCTCTGTACCAAGCCACAAAATTGCTTTTTTTTAGCAAATCATAGTAGTAGATAATCTGACAAGCACTGCTGCTGTTGACAGGCTGCATTTTAGTGATCTAGAAGGAGAATAGGTAATTAAAAGATTACAAGTATGCATGTACCATGGCAAACAGGTAATAAAAAAAAAAACAGTGACCAATGGCCCAATAAGCTGCTTCTCGATAAAATTCCAGATTGGCAGGTTAATGTGTTTTAAGGCTCTGGGGGAGCATTGTTCTTCTCAAGGTCTGGTCACAGCCTTACTTATTGAGGCTCAAAGAACAGGGTAGAAAGGCTGCCAATGGGTAATGAGAGTCCAGAAAAGCCAGTGAGGCCTTCTCGTCTTCCCTTGGTTTAAGCTCACCATTAACCCACCCCTACAGAGGGCAAGGGTCGGAGGCGACTCCGGGAGCAGAGTGCAGTGTAAGGACCTCACACTAACAACTGCCTTTACCAAGCATCTGCAAATCTAAGCCCTGCCCTCTGCTGCATGATGTCATGATTCACACCGACAGTGACACCTCAGTGAGGGCAATGCCATGGAATTTTTACTTAATTCTCTCAAATTGCATTTTAAAATGACTCCGGAATATGGGTGAGAAATCTGTCATCCGTAGTCATGCAAGCAATAGTAACTTCAAAAATACTTCGATTTACTTAAATTAGACCATATTGTACACAATCACCTCTACAGTCTGGTCGCCAAGGTGATGTTTGTGGGAAGCTGTGCTTTCTGGAGGAAAATGCGATTCTCTGTGTATCCCTTTTTGGATTTAATTTCCGACTTGGGGCCCTTTGTCAGCTTGTGCCTCTCTCTGAGACCATGTTGTGGAAGCCGGTACCTGGGCAGCAGTCTGGCCAGTGCTCACTCGGAGTGGCCAGTGACAGGTTGATCACTGTTAGTGTTGGGACATCAGCTACCCCTTAAGGGGATGACTCCTTGTCTCAAAAATGATCATGGGGCAGTTTGCTCTATGCATGTCATTGACACCCGTACAATTACTCTGCTGCTTCTATTCTAGTACCTTGGTTGTGAAGCAGAAGTTACCAGGCGTCTACGTGCAGCCGTCTTACCGCTCTGCATTAAGTAAGACAAAGATTCACTCTTAATTTATTGCCTATTTAATGGTTCCTCTGACACAACTGAAACCTTAACTGTTTTTATTTTTTCCTACAGTGTGGTTTGGAGTAATATTCATCCGGCATGGACTTTATCAAGATGGCGTATTTAAGTTCACAGTTTACATCCCTGATAACTACCCAGATGGGGACTGTCCAGTAAGTAGGAGGCAGTCTGGCTTAGAGAGATTAGAGGTTTCCTAATACTCTGAGGAGTTCAGTTTTCCGAAATGCTGTGAGCTTTCCCAGCAGTCTTTCAAAGGAAGTTTTGTGCTTTGCTGCATCTGCTGTCAGGCTATACTCTGCCTGTAGCTTGGTTTCTCTGCTCAAGGTGTGCAGGTGAGGCTGGAAGCTGTATTATTAGGGGAGGAGAGGGACTTTTTCCCCTTCGTTGCAAAATTCCGTTTTACAGGGAAATGGTACAGGTAGTCAACTAGCCCTCATGAGGCAGCTCCTTGCTTTTAACAATATGGCTGCCTCTTTCTCCTGAAGCTCCTTTTGTGACTATGTCTGGGTCTGATAAGCTGTGTGCTTTCTTCCACGGCTTCCATTAAAGGACGTGTCTCTCTCTAAATACAGCGCTTGGTGTTTGATATTCCTGTCTTTCACCCGCTAGTTGATCCCACCTCAGGTGAACTGGATGTGAAGAGAGCGTTTGCAAAATGGAGGTCAGTAAAAAAGTACTTCTTCTAATGAGGTAATACAGTGGGTGGAAGCCTCTGTGACCATGCTGTTCTCCTTTAGGCGGAACCATAATCACATTTGGCAAGTATTAATGTATGCAAGGAGAGTTTTCTACAAGATTGATACGGCAAGCCCCCTAAACCCCGAGGCTGCAGTGCTGTACGTTACTTTTGCTTTGTTTAAGAAAAATTTGAAAATGCAGCTAAGTAGATTTAAGTTGGTAACTTGTTTATTATTTAAACTTTAATACAGGTATGAGAAAGATGTTCAGCTTTTTAAAAGTAAAGTGGTTGACAGTGTTAAGGTGTGCACGGCTCGTCTGTTTGACCAACCTAAGATAGAGGATCCCTATGCAATCAGGTGAGTGTCATGTTATTCAGATGAATTGCACTGTGCAGTGCCGTTCCATTTCCCAGGTGGTCTTGGGATGGTGGTTTGACAGGGATGCGTATGCTCTGTCAGCCTACAGCCTGTATAACTCAGTGTCCACTTATTTCTCACGCTATTGGGCTCTAACAAACTTTTTGCTGTCTGGCACATGGGGCCAACAGCAAGATATGTATTGAATCTGGCTTCCTAAAGATCCTTACAGTGTGCTCAGTCATTCACATGTCAGGACTTTAGGGTTGGCAGTTATAACTGGACCCCTCTTAAACTGCCATATTGATGTTCAGATTTGGTGAGAGGAAGGAAATGGAATAGTATGTGAGGAGGTGGGATATTCATTCTCGGGGCAGTGTCGCTGAGTGAAAGAGCAGGGGTTCTACAGATGGACCGACTGGCTTTCAGCTTTGGTGACACAGCACTTAATTGATTTTACTGCCCCTTGCTGTCTTCATCTTTAAATACTAGGACTTAGGGATTGTTGTGAGGCATCAATGAGATGACACACAGAAAGTACTCTGTAAAGGACAGTTACCATGTTAGAAAATTATGTAGATGGCAGAACTACATGATGACAACTGATTATTTAAAGATTACTCGTTCATTGTTCCTTGTTTTATTTGTTATGATGAACTGGCTCAATTATTGAAAAACTGATGTCAGTATAAATTTAGGTAGCCAAAAGCAGTTTTTAATATTTCTGCCTCCCTTAAGCTTTTCTCCCTGGAATCCTTCTGTACATGATGAAGCCAGAGACAAGATGCTGACTCAGAAGGTAAGTGGAGATAACCATTTCTGAAAGCGTTAACTGTGTGTTTTCTACACTGTCCTCAGAGGAGACTCAGTTGTATACAAATAACTTTTTGGGCAAATGAGTTTGTCCAGTGTTGGACTCTCATCAGTAGGTTTTTTAATGTCTGTTTCTGATTGTGCCTAGAAGAAGCCTGAGGAACAGCACAATAAAAGTGTTCATGTTGCTGGCCTGTCGTGGGTAAAGCCTGGCTCAGTACAGCCTTTCAGTAAAGAAGAGAAAACAGTAGCAACCTAAGAAGGTGGTGACTATGGTGCACATGCACTTTCCTGCTGGACTCTGGCCGAGTTAAAGCTGACCACTGGCAAAGGATGGCCTGAAGAGTAAACTGTGGACAGTGACTGAGATCAGTGTTTTCCATGTGTGCTTAGGTTCTAACAGCAGGTTTTGGGAACCTCTCTTTAAGTAATGCATTACTTCTCTCAGAAGTGTGTTTAGGGTGGTTATCTAGTTCAGTACTCCAAATTGTTGGGGACCTTGGGGCTTAAATATTTTTCTGAATATAATGATGCTAAAGGTAAGTTGCATTCATTGACACTAATCGAGTAGGGAGAGTTCAACACTGCTTAATGGTTTTTAAAGCAGTGGTTTCAGTTGTACATGTGTTAGGATGTGGAGAGACAAGTTCCATAGGTCAGCACTTTTAAACAGAACATCATCTGAAACTCAGTCCTCAGCCTACTGTACTGATTTACAAACTACTGTCACTGAGGTACGTAGTAGGTGAGGGAGAGGAAACCAGACACTTGCTCATAGCTGGCTTTTTTTTTTTTTTTTTTAATTACTGTATTTTTATGGTGGGAGAGAGAAAAAGTGTTGAAACGGTTTCTAATGAAGTCACATATTTAAATGATAAATGGCTAATGTGTTTAGTAGAGACAAAATAAACTAATAAATGATTGTTCTTTGTCATTTATGCAGGAAACTAAACAGCCTTTTCTCAATATAACTAAGCAGATTAATTTATAAATGCTTTATTAAAAATATACTTATTTTCATATAAAAATCGCAGTTAAGTATCTTAAGAGCTTTTATAAATATCTCTGTAGAACACTATTCTCACTGAATAGTGTGAGTCCCGTATTTGTTTTGGAGCAATTATGAAGTTACCCAGTAACTTTGTTTATACTGATTCAATTTACAATTGAATTTTCTCCCTAATAAGATTATTAATCCAACTTTAAAACTGCTGGGAATAGAAGTGACTAGTAAAGGTATATATAGATAATTCAAGACTTGTTAAATATAACATTTTGTAATGTGTATAAATGGTACTATGTACTAATGAAAACCTACATTTTCCAATCTATTTTTTTCCTTGAAACTGCCAAGAACATCCCCAAAGATATCTTAAAATGCATCACCTAAATATAAACACATGTCTTTTGGATAACTGCCTCCTAAAGGAAGAGGCCATCATTTTTCCCATTAATACCCTTAATTCAACTTGATTTTAAATTTTACTTAGCCAGCTGATCCCTATATAACAGCAGTGTAAAACTGGAGAATTTAAAAATACATGCCCCAAAAGTGGCTACTGGGGCTTTAGGTTGTTTTTTTTTTTCCCTAAAAAAAAAAAAAGTAAAAAATGATAAAATAAGATATTGGATGTTTAGCCTAGAAGTCCTATACTTAAATACAATTCACATTGTAGAAAGTGCCATCGCAAATACACAGCAAAATCTGGGTTTAAAAAAAAAAAAAAAAAAAGTCATGCTTTTTACAGCCCTAAAGTGCCACTTCGTATACAAGTTTCACTCACACATTGCACAACTGAACAAGAAAGCACTTTTCACACTACACCAGCCTCCTGGGAGAGGATACCTTACACTAAGGGAATGGGAGGTGGCTCAGGACCCGGGTCTGCCGAATCTGGGCTCTCCCTGTTCCATTTCAGGAATGCAAACATCTTACACTCCTACAAAGTGATGGAGCACAAAATACCTAATTTTTGTTTTGCTTTTCACGAGAACCAGAAAGCTGACCATAAACCAGGTAGGAATGAATTTAAAATGTAGTTCTGTTGGAGCATGTCAAGAGAAACTTGTAATACACGTGCTTGAGCACACTTTGTTCTCTGCAATACTTGCAGAAGCTGTGCCATATAGTTAAAAATCCAAGTTTGGATTCTAAGCAGCCTTGATAGTAAGCATTGAATGGCAGGGAAAAAGACGGTTGGGATGAAAAAAAGTACTGTAAGGATACTAGAAAGAGCTAAGATCGAAATCTTGCGGCAACTTCCCTTCATGGTTCTAACAGGCACTACTTGATTGTCTAGGTTAAGGAAAAGAGCCCGTGCCCGTAATAGTGTGTGTATTAAATGCCGCTGCTAACCAGAGTTTGTGAAAACACATTCCGATGCAAGAGACTAACCTCAGTGGGAACCTCGGTCATTAGCTACATCTTGGAGACGGCGTAATAAGGCAGAATGATTTTCTGGGCAAATTCGTTTTGCAGGTGATTCACTTCCATCTTCTAAATGAATACCTCTCTTTTTGGTTGGCGTTTCCCCTGTCCGAATCATACTGTTAATTTCTCTCAGTCTCTATAGTGGGGAAAACAAATAGATACAAAAACTTTAAAATGCTAATAATGCACATTAAGTCAAATCATTTCAAATAAGCTTAACAGTCTATTTTGAAGAATATGAACACCTTTACGGAGCATAAAACCACTAAACGATACACCCTGTTAATAAGTTCACTTCTTAGCTGGCAGGACTGAGTATGGGGGGCAGGGGCAGAATATTTCTGTTTGTAACACACCAGAGGTGATTCTGAGCTCTACACTTCCACAGTGTGCAAGAGTTCAAGTTGGTGATTTTTTATTTTTAAGTTATAGAGTATCCTGTTTGTGCCATATTAAATCACTCCCTTACATGTCCATTTTCTGTTTTAACAAAAAACATTCGGCATAAAGCATGCCGAATTAGGCCTTGTCCCTTTTTTCAACCCAGTGTTAATTTTTAGCATCCGTTGTCAACTGGGATTTCATAAAGAAAGCCATAATACCCTAAGATGTCCATGATCTAGAATGGTACTAGTTATTTATCATTGTTAGAACTGGGAAGAAAGTTACGTCAACTATCTTCTGTGTCCTGTGGTTCAGATGAGGAAACCCAGTGGAGAAAAGGTGTAACCCAAGTGCGCTAGAGAGAGAGTGGACCGATTTACGGTTCCTTCAGCAATAAGTTTCTCCAAAGCCCCAGAGGTTGGTTATGGTATTTTCTGGTAGCTTTTTGGTATGAAACATTTTTCATGTCATTGTTCATGTTTCCTTATGCAAAGTATAAGTATATTCACATACACTTACAGAAAATACCAAATATATTTAAGTAGAAAGAAGACTAGTGTGAACCCCCACATACTCATCATCCCAGTTATCCACTCTTACTTGATCTATAATCCCATCCCATTCACTTTTTAGTGTACAGTTCTGCATGTTCATCAAATGCATAGTTGTTTAACAATCACACCAAACTTTTCACTCTAAAAAATTCCTTCATGCCCTTTATGGCCAACCCAGCCCCTAAGCAACCGCTGATGGTTTTTGTCCCTATGGTGGTATCTTTTCCAGAATGTCGCAGAAATGGAATCATAAGGTAAGTACCCTATAAAATGTAGTGTCTTTCACTTAAGCATTAATGCATTGGAGGTTTATCTATGTTGTTGAGGGTAGTAGCCGTGTTATTGTTATTAGGTGCTGTCAAGTTGATTTCAACTTGTAGAAACTTAATATGATGGTAGAACCACCCCATAGTGTCTTCTAGGCTGTAATGTCTGTGGGAGTGGACTGCCAGGTTTTTCTCCCATGAAGCTGTTGGATAGTTCAAACTGCAAACCATTCCTTTAACAGCTGAGCACTTAACTGTTGCACCAGCAGGGCTCCTGAAGTGTATCACCGGTTCCTTTTTATTGGTAAGTCCCATTATCTGGATGTCCCAGAGGTTTGCTTATTCATTAATTAGTTGAAGGCTACTTGGGTGGTTTTCTATTTTTTGGCAATTAGAAACAAAGCTACTATAAACATTGATGTGCATGTTCCTATATGCACATAAGTTTCCTTCTACTTGAGTAAATGCCTGTGTGTGTTGTGTGTGTGTGTGTGTGCGCGCGCCATCGAGTCAGACCCGACATAGGTAAATACCTAGCAGTGGCATTATTGGTTGTATGGTGAGGAGGATGTGTTTGATGTTATTAAGAAACTGCCAAACAGTCTTCCAGAGTGGCTATGCCACTTTGAAGTCCCACCGGCAATGTATAGTAGTTCCAGTTGCTCCATACTGCTGCCAGAACTTATAATTTAAAAAATGTTAGCCCTGCTAATAAGGATGTAATGTGTAAAGTGTATTCAGAACTTTTGCCCATTTTCAAATTAGGTTGAGTTTTGTTAAGTGTTTTATATATTCTAGATACAAACCCTTTATCAGATTTGGGATTTGCAAAGATTTTTAGTCTATGACTTGTCTTCTCATTCTCCCCAAAGTATCTTTTAAAGATACTTTTATCTTTTGATAAAATCCAACTTTATAATGTACCTAAAATCCTAAAGATTTTCTCCCATGTTTTCTTCTGGAAGTTTTGTAGTTTTAGGTTTTACATTTAGTTCTATAATCCATTTGAGTTAATTTTTATATATGGTACAGATACTCATTTCTTTTGTATATAATTATCTGTGGGGACCTAGTTTTACCTTAAGTAAGGGGGCCTTTCTCCTTGGCTCTGGAAAAAATAGGTGTGTTCCTTGTTCTGGGAATTTGAGTCCACACTTGAGAATCTGTGCTGGCGAGTAGGGGGCTGGCCAGACCAGAAGAGACTGATCTGGAAGGTGGACAGGAAGCACTATTTAGCCTATCAGGCAGGACTGGCCAATAAAAAGCCCTGATGAGAGGCTCTGAAAGCTTCCTGTTAACAAAGAGTATCTGCTCTTGGGAGGGCATTGCATCTCCTGGGATGTGGAAATCCCTGTCAGGAACCCTCTCAGACCTTACCCTAGGTATCTCATACCCTTTTTTGGCTACAGTTAATCTGTTGTCATAGTATAGTGTGTGTGGGTGGGGGGGGAACCATTGCCATCGAGTTGACTCTGACAGCAACCCTATAGGACAGAGTAGAATTGCCCCATAGGATTTTCAGGCTGTGTAATCTTTATGGAAACAGACTGCCACATCTTTCTCCTGTGGACTGGCTAGAGGGTTAGCAACTGAGCACTTAACCACTATGCCACCAGGGCTACTCAACTATGACATCTGTGAGTTGGTTCAGCAAATTATTGAACCCAAAAGGGTAGTGGAAGTCAGCAGGTCAGAAAGTAAGGACAGAGCTTATGGCTGACATCCTGA